TGGTGAAGCACTGGAATGGGTTACCTAGGGAGGTGGTGGAATCTCCTTCCCTAGAGGTTTTTAAGGTCTGGCTTGACAAAGCTCTGGCTGGGATGATTTAGTTGGGGATTGGTCCTGCTTTGAGTGGGGGTTGGACTAGATGACCTCCTGAGGTCCCTTCCAACCCTGATATTCTATGATTCTATGAAAAAAATCTATAAGTATGCCTGTAAAAAATGCATCAAAGACTTAATATCTGACTTCATTCTTACCTTTTGTCCTCGGGGTCCAGCTGGGCCAGGCGATCCATCAGGGCCTGTCAGTCCCTTGTGAAATAAAGTGTAACATGTTAATGTAACTCACATTTTTGTTAATCACAACAGAAAACTCTTTAAAATATAAAACACTGTGAAATTGTCTTACAATGCAAATAGTTTAGTGAGATACAGAGATGAAGCTGATTTACAAAATTCTAATCCATATCCAAATTCTGCCAAAGTTCAAGGTGAGAGTTTGTGGCTATTATTATCACCTGGGTTATATTGCCTTCAACACAACCTTGTCTAAATTCCAGTTAGTAAGAACAGGTGACCTCAGATTCCCTTAAATTTTTCCAAATCAGAGAAATTTTCTGAATTGCTAGACAGATGAACTTTCGTGACTTATGATTAAAATGTCAAATTTCTATGTTTGTCCTGCATAATCAGTTGTCCATAGTGAAAAACTGGAACTAATTTCAAGAATGTATCTCAAAAGGATACTTGAATGTTTGAAATTAGATGAGAAAAATTGATGACCTTTTGGTGATCTCAGATGAAAAGGTCCCACCCTTCCTTTCATATTCAGCTCAATATGAATATGGAAATTAATAGTCAGTCAGTCAGTTAGTCATCCCCCTAAAAGCCTCTGTATTACATTAGATTTATACCCACACCTATACTGTTCATATGTTGTATAGATTATCCATACATATAAGGCCATATTTTGACTTCAAAGCATAACTTCAATAACAGCTACACATAGGCATCCAAAATAGACTATTGTTGATAGTATTAAAAATGTACCCTAAGAGGTACAATCATTTTGAACCAAATGGTAGCCCTATGTATGTAATAAGGCACATGGCAGCCACTTACTTGCTATATATGTCATCTAGACACCAGGCTGACCAATCAGGAAGGTAGTTAGGCCTAGGGAGTTGGGGAAGGGGAATAGAAGCCACATCTGCTTTGTGCAAGAAGGGAGAGGATGGAAATGACTTCCCCAAACCACTCTTCACAGCGGCCCTCTGTGTATCTCCTCACCCTTGTCTTCCTTCCCAAAACAAGTTGAAGAGGTTACTGTTGAGGAAGAAAGGATAGGGAGCAGGGCCCAATCGTATGTGGTAGCACTCTGAGGAAGGATCTCTCCCCTTTCTACTTCTGATTGCAATTATAAAGGACAGGAATTCTTTGGTCCCCAGACTAACAGCTCTACTGAGGCCAGGTTAGCCATGACCTCATTCTGTAGGCCATAGTAAACCATTCAGTGTTCCTGTCATTCAGCCAAGGAGGAACTGGCCCTCATACCACACAGAAATATTGGATTGGGATTGTTCAGCTTAGAAAAGAGATGACTAAAAGGGGATATGATAGAGGTCTATAAAATCATGAATGTTGTGGAGAAAGTGAATAAGGAAGTGTTATTTACCCCTTCATATAACACAAGAACCTGGGGTCACACAGTGAAATTAATAGGCAGCAGGTTTCTAACATACATAAGGAAGTATTTTTTCACACAACACTCAGTCAGTCTGTGGAATTCTTTGCCAAGGGATGTTGTGAAGGCCAAAAGTATAATTGGGTTAAAAAAATAATTAGATAAGTTCATAACCTTCAATGGCTATTAGCCAAAATAGTCAGGTATGCAATCCTGTGCACTGGGTGTCCCTAGCCTCTATTTGCCAGAAGCTGGATGGGATGACAGAGGATGGATCTTGATAATTGCCCTGTTCTGTTCATTTCTTCTGATGCAGCTGGCACCAGCCACTGTCAGAAGACAGTATACTGGGCCAGATGGACCATTGGTATGGCTGTTCTTATGTTTTAACTGAGGAGTTCAAGAAAATGATGTGGTTTAGGTGACTGAGTTGTCCTGAAAGGGAAACAAAGAATCCAGAAATTGAGTCTTGCCAGGAAAGTAAAGGAGAAAAAGATTTTCAAATATTTGGTTTTATATTTGGTCTTTGCTTATTGTTTTTCAGTTTGCACACAAAAGGTCTCAGGGACAACTCGGTGAAGTCAATTTGGAATATTGAAATTAATGTGAATTTTAGCAAGATCAAATCTCTATTCTATTATGGATTTTGGATCTTAAACAGGTTTTAATAGGAATTTTTAGTTTACCTTTTGCAGAATACTTTTACAGAAAAAACAATCAACTTCCAGCATGTTTCATTTTCAAGTTAATTTAAGCACTTCCATATAATTCTCCACCCTTTAAAACTGCTGAGTCAGGTCTTAATATTACAAATTATTTTTCTGCCATTTTTATATAAGCTACACAGTAATGTGCTTAAATCTTTGCATAAGACATAAATACCAATATGACAACTCCATCAAAGCAAAGAACTACAGTAAGAATGGATTTGTTCTAGCTTTCCATCAAAATAAGATTCCCTTGAACCTTAGTTATTTAGGCCCTTGTGTTGTTCCCCATGAAGAAACAAAGTTACAAGGGCAGTAACAATCATATATTATTCTGAAGGAAGGAAGGAAGTCCTCCTTACTTCAGAATAATATATATTCAAGTCACTATTTCTCTTGGGATTCTGTTTCTCCTGGGATCACAGTTAAAGTCCATCCATAAGCTTCAGCTCAGTAAAGCATAATCATTACTTTACCACAGTTCCACGTAGCTAACTGTCTCAAATTTGGATGTACTAAATGTGACATAACAATAGTTTTCTCGCACTTACAAGGTCATGTATTGCTACTGAGGAATAAAAATTCTATTTGGGGGAAATGTTTATATAATATAAAATGAGTGGGATGTGTTAAGCAACACTCGTAAAGACCATCGATCATCTGCTTAGGTATTTAAATTAATTTGTATTTTCATATTATATTTTGGTTTTCTAAAATTATATAAAGATAATTAAAATCTATATTTAAAAAAACTTGCACAGTCTCTTTCTTCATTTAAATTGTAAAAAATGGACCTCATTTGTTTCCATAGGGCACTTGAAAGCTTGTAATAATTTTGTAACTATATGTTACAACAAATACATTTACATTATACGCTACATTAGCATTCTATCTGAAGTTACTGAGAAACTAGTGTTTCTGATTAACACTACCACCAGACAGTAATCCTCTGGTTATTTTCTTCTTATACTATGTTTCTCCATGGTCCATGGTTATTATTTAAGACATAAAGTTTTCAGATTAGATTATTGCTTGACCAGCCAGTATAAAGCTTCATAATCAGAAAATATTGAAAAATATGTGACAGACTTTTTTTCCAGTTCATCTTGTAGGGTGGAAGATTTAAAAAGATCCATTCCTGACTGAGTTCATGAGTATGTTAAATCCGTGCATGAGCTTTCTATCTGCTGTTTTAGTTCACAATCCACTGCTCTTCTAATATAAAATAAAATAATAATATAAAATAAAAGTTTGCTCTTCAGCAGTAAATTCCAGATCTCTAAAAAAAAAAAAAAAAAAAAAAAAAAAAAATCACAGCTTGTCTCATGAAGAATGACTCAAAACAACCCTTGATTTCCAGAGGATTGGATCACATTTTAAATTTATTCCTTCACATGCTAGTGTGGTTCTTGCATGAGTCTTCCATTTAGTCTTTTTAGGCTTTCTCATACAGATATCCTCCCTTTTCTTCATTCTGTCTCAACGTTCCCCAAGAGGAAGTTTCTATGTTTGTGCCCCCAATTGCCCTTATAGTGTTGTATGGGAAAAGTGAATGTGATGCTTCCACAGGCAGGGCAAAGTGAAACAATCTGTGCCTAGTTCTTAACATCCTGGAAACTGCTAACGCCCCCTGCAGACCAGTTACACCAACTGGAAATGAAGAAATTGCCTCAGTCATGGTTTCCTTGCTTATTTCAAGAGACAGGTCTTGCTCTTGCTCTTGCCTGTTGGTCAGTAGGGGGCAATTCGAAGTGTCTCTCTCTCTTCCTTTGCTGTTCTCCTTTTTCTCATCCCACAGCAGAGCGGATCTGATTCTCCGGGTTGCTCCCAGAACCCCCGCAGGCAGGAGAGGAGCCAATGAAGGATGTTGCCTGGCAGGTCCTGATGCTGAGACTCCATTCATAGAATCATAGAATATCAGGGTTGGAAGGGACCTCAGGAGGTCATCTAGTCCAACCCCCTGCTCAAAGCAGGACCAATCCCCAGACAGATTTCTACCCCAGTTCCCTAAATGGCCCCCTCAAGCATTGAACTCACAACCCTGGGTTTAGCAGGCCAATGCTCAAACCACTTCCCCCAATCTCACTTGACTTTCATTTGCCCACAAATGCCCCTGGCTCCCATTAATTCCAAAAGCCTGGACTCCATGTGGAGGGCAGTGTGCACACCCTGGTTTACAACAGGACATAGGGTGGGAGAGGGCGCCCTTCCCTGTTGCAGCCACCTGTCCCCCAGCACATGCAGTAGCTTGACTCCTCCTCCCTTTCCCTTGCGGCAGCTGAGTCTGTTCAGGCTGTACGTAGATGAACAGTATGGGCACCTACACATGGGACTTTCACCAGGTCCCTCCCTCCCAATCGCATCCTTCCCCTTTGACTGACACTCCTCTCTTGTCACAGCTCTTGCCCCTCCCCAGAGCAAGGGGGGAGAGAGCTGTTTCTCTGTAACTCCAAACAATCCTTGCTCTGTTATCACCCAAGGAAAGGCTGGAATCCTCAGTCCTCCCCAGGGACCTCAGTCCTCCAGACCCTGTGCCCAATCTCTATAACCACCTCCCAGCCCAGCCCTGTGTGTAAGAGAGAGTCTTTCAAATGGCAGCCAGATCCTTCACTCACGCACGGCTGGCCATCTGGGTTGTAATTAAACCAGGGACCTTAGAAGGAGGTTGCCTCCCTACAGAAATAGCCTAGAACTAGTTATTTTTCCAAAAAAGAAGGCAAAGTCTACTCACATCAGCTCCTGGCTCTCCTGGCATCCCGGAGGCACCTGGTTTGCCTGGCTCACCATCTGGACCCTTCAGGATTCAAATGGACAAAGAAATAATGTATTTTAGAGTGAGAAGCAAGCAGAGCTGAGACACTCTCACACAAAGATCTGGGTCGATCCTGTTGTAAGATCGAATGCAAAGCAATGTAAATTACTTACTGGAGGGCCTGGGGGGCCATTGGGACCTCTGTCTCCCTAACGGGATGTAAAAGAGAAACGGTTCAGTCAGCAGCCTGTAGAGTCCCGAGGTGACACTAATAAACCCATGTGCAAAATGTTAAACAGATGATCAGGAATGATCCCTAATTCATTTCTATTGTGTAATCCCATATATTTCCTCTTATGCGTAATAATTCTACAGACCTACTGTATGCTATCAAGAATAATCCTGTATAGTTCTTTACAGATTATCAAGAATAATTGCATATGATTCCTATCACATACTGTAATAAATAATCTCATGTAATCCTTTTTACAGACTACCAGACTGCCGTCCCCCACCACCACCACCCCACACACCCATTACTGTTTCAGCCGATGCTGAACAATAATTCCTATGAAGGTTATTAAGGGCACTAGAGAGTGCTGCCAAATTCAAAGGATCCCAAGAGCTAAATACTAATGTAGTAAGAATAATTCAGGTGTGTGCAGAAAGCATTCCTAGCTGCCAGCTGTGGTGACTCATGCATGGGAGACACTTACATCGATGCCATCGATGCCAGGAACTCCTGGTGGCCCTGGTGGACCTGGGGGGCCTTGCGGACCTGGGGGGCCTCTCTGACAAGGAATAAAACAAATTGCAATTAGACAGTGGGCAGATCCCAGAAAACCTGCAGCAACTTGGGGGTAAAGGTACAGGAACGGGGAGACCAGCCCATAGGGAAAGAACTTCCAAAGGCTTCTAAGTGGGCTCCTCAGTTACCAGGGCCCTTAGCTGACCATACAGTTGGTCTTGTGCACCTGATGATTAAAGTAATTGTCATGTTGACCCACTGAATTGCATTCCCCCTTGTTTAGTGACTGCCAAAATGTCCATTGCAATCTGAACCAGGATTACAAATTGTCAAAAACTCCCCCTGTCCTCGTCTATTGTCATTCACCCACTGCACAAAACAGGCAGGCCGGTGTTTATGTCACTGTGTAACTGTACAGTACAATCTGGGCTTTACAGAGCAAAAGGTTTGGGGGTAATATTCGCATCAGAAATTCACTAGCCCGGCCCTTGAAAAATCAATATAAAAACAGTGAAGGAAAAATAATAATGTTCTTTGTGAATAACGTTTTGAAATTCTCCACACCTATTCTAACAAGCTCATTCAGCCTAAACAGAAGAGACTCTTCTTAAGAGTTTGTGTTAGGAAGAAAAGTTTAAAAATACAGCCCTTCTCTGCTCTCACTAATGTATTCACTGCAATAACATTTTTTTCCTTATAAAAAAACTCCTGTTACCTGTCCTCACAAGTACATTAAAATCTACAATCCTGGTTATAATTAGACTTCTCCACAGGCTGGGCTCCTGAGAGGGGTGTTAGCAGGCACTGCATATGTTTGAAGCCAAAGAAATGCGTTCTTTGAAAGAATGTTTGAAACCCTCGAGTTCTATAATATACTGGACTGTTTTCTTTATTACTAAACTCCAACTGCCAGGCAAAGCAAACCTCACAATGGGGGCTTTGTGAGTGAAACCTCAAGCCCCTACAGGAGGAGGTGATGCACTCAGTCTGGCAGGAGCTGCCAGAGTCTGAAATCTCCGGTCCCATTCAAGCAGTCCTAGCTATAGCCCCTGTCCTTCCTGCTCTTTTTCCAATGTTACTGGCATTTTAGGAATGTTTCTTTCTTAGAGCAGCCTCTCAAGTTCTTATTAAACTGACGATTTTCTTACTTGCAGATTAAACCGTGCCATACCACTGCTCATTGGCACATTGCATAGAAAGGTTCTGTTCAAAGCAGTTGTAACCATTGCATCTACATCTCTTTGCTTAACTTATTTTTTCCACTTTAGAAATGCTAATGTGATTTCAGTTTAAAAAAAATACAGTTACAGCCACCACTTCTGGGATAAGACAACCCAGACTATTGGATTTTGAAAGGCATCAGATGCCAGGCAAGAGGACAGGAGATTGTCCTCAGCTTCCCAGGGACTTTGTATAGACCCTTTCTCTTTGCACTGAGCAGGCTTCCTTTCCTTAAAACTTACCTCCGTGGCAGTCTGGCTTATCTGCAATGAATAAGAAATGTATAATAAAAGTCAGGTACAACTTACTTGAGCCAGGCAAAGGCACATAATTTGTAGAAAAACCCCTAAAGGTAACGATCCCCTGCCCCGAGCAGTGCTAGCCATGGTCACTTCTCTGCTGGCCAGCAATATTTTCCACTCTGTTGCTCTTGATGGATTTTAGGACCCGCAAGACATACAGTTCCCCCCCAAGTGACTCCACTAGCAGCAACAGAAAGGTAAGCCCTGCTTCAGGCATCTGTTTCTTCTGTTTATTAATGGCCTTAGAGGAGGGTAATGGGGATTGGAGGAAATCTGAATGCTAGGAAGGAGGGGATTGAATGACACCAGCTCCTTTAACCCTTTGCCCTGCTGCTGCTGCTGCTCTGACCATGGTCCTCAGCAGCAATCCCTTAACTTTCTGCATGAGTTATCAAGAGAGAAAAGCAAAGCTAGGCCAGGGCGCAAAGAGCCCCACTCTCTACAGAGGCACACTTTTAAATATCTCTGCCTTAGGTCGTTTGATAAGAAAAAAGTAAGAAAGCAAGAGAAGAGTTAAAACCATGAGACCGTTTTGAAAGGCACCAAATCCCAGATACATATGTTAAATATAGACATCTATAACCATAAGAAAAATGAGGAGACCGATAACTGCCGGCGACCCAGAGGAAAAGGTTGAAGACCCAATGATAGTATGAATATTAGGAATGTAAGGCCAAGGAAGCCCATTACCTGTCTCCTGGCTGGAAGTTCGCTACAACTTTCTCTTTGTGGTCTCAGAGGGTCGCAATGAATCAGCATCCACTGGATTTCAAACTAGTGAAGGGGATAAAATGAGATTAATTTATTTCAGATGTTCACGCTTGCCAGGTTTGAATAACAAGAACACTCTGATCAGCCATCTCTGGGTTTTAAAAGTTGTGTAGTAGAAAACAAGAGCTATGATTACAGTCAAAGGGATATATAACACATATAACACTTATAGTTCCTGGAAATTTAAGCATAAACAGCAGGTGCTCAACAACTGAATGGTATCAGGTGCTGGAGCTTACTTCTTTAGAACAGACCGGCTAGTTACCTTCAGCTCTTCCCTTGCTCTAGCATCTGTTTGTGTATTTAGAAAGGGGCATAAAACCTGTTGTAGGAATTAAGGGAGAAGGAAGTCTACAGTTGGTCATGTCCAAGAACAGGTGTTCTTTCATGTTTATATTATGCTGTGGAAGTTGTTTTATTAATGAACACACATTCACAAAATGATTTCCTTAGGACTAGAAAGTTATGTGGATAAAGCATGACAGGTCTGACAATGAATGCAGGAGTCGAAGATCTAAGTAGGAGGAATTCTAGAGACCTGAATCATATATACACTAGAAACATTCTGGGGCGGGCTGATATACCTTTGTGAGATTTCACATCTTCTTCAATATTTTCACATTGACTCTGTAAAATGACCCAGAAATAAAACCACTTCTTTGCCTCTAAGAACTAACAACTGATCCTTTATGTGTCTGCATATATGAGGAAAGTGTACTTTACATACCCTCTGCTGAAAATGACTGGGTGAATAGATGCAGTAAATAGCTTCAGAGGTATGTCCTCTGGTATGTAATGTACCATATGGTACATTAAATACAGGTACATCCATGTAAATTATATTAGTACACCTCTTTTTGTGAGATCTTAGATCATTTCCCCATCTCATTCTACATGATTTTTGTGGTCATGGAGCTAATGAATGGTCTATTCCATGTTTTTTCAGGCTGCAAAACAGGTGAAGGGGTCACAACATTCCCTTCTTTATGACCAGATGGAATGGGAAGGAAGGAGCGTGACGCTTTTTTCTGTTGTAAAATATACTCGTAATATGGAAAAGGTCAAGATCTAGCCTTCCTGAGAACCTCAAGGAAGAAGTATGAGTCTTTAGGACTTTCATTTCCTGGTTAGGCTCCTGTTTCCCTGATTCTTTCTTATTGCTGATTGATGTCACATATCTTCCCTTCAACCCTTCCACTGTTTAATGCCTCAATGCTTCTTGGTCATCTTCTCTGCTCCCTTTGGGAAATCTCATTGTCCTCTTCAATCTTGGTCATGATTTCTATGCAGCTAGAACCCAGCTTACATCCCCCTTGACTCTTTCTTAGATCCCCCCATTCCCATCTGGTTCCTTATGTTGACTTCCTCATTTCCACATTACTCCATACACTGTACCTCATTAATGCTTCAGAGATTGAAGTCCTTTACTATCACATCTATGTCCTCAAGTTTGCCAATTGCCACCTCCATAGAATTGCTAGAATTCTTCTTTACTTTGATTCTGCCTTTACTGAAATTCTTGCAATCAAATCTTTATTGTTCTCGATATTTACTCCTGAGATTTCAGAGTTTCCAGAATGCAGTGGCTAGACTGTTCTCTTCCTCAAGGAGGTTGTGCCATAGTCCCCAATCTCTGTCACATTCACCGGCATCTCACGTATCTCTGAATCTAATTTAAAATCTCCCCTCTTGGTTTTCAAAACCTCTTCACAGACTTGTTCCATCATACCTCCTTGACTATATCCACTTTCTTCCTAACTAGCTTGTTCTATATTTGCTGTTCATGACACTCCACATTTCGGGGGTGCTCTTTCACCTGTTCTGCATTATTTTATTTGGCTCTCCTTCCCTATTTGTGAGTCACTTATTTGCTTCACTTCTCCAACAATCATTTTGAAACCTTCCTGCTTGCTTTAACCAAAGCCAATTGCATATATACATAATTGCATGATGTAAATTATCGTTAAGCATCGGTAAGGCTATAACATAAAATAATAAGAATAAGACATTGAAAATTCATATTTACACCTTATGACTCTGGTTTCAATGTATCCCATACCTGATAAAGGGAAATCTTGACTCTAGGCATCAAAAGATTAACCAATCTTGATATTCCAAAGAGTTTCTTTCTTTGATATCATAGATGTAGCTAGTAGTGCTGCCTGACATTTTCCATTATAAGACCCTGTTTTCAGTTGTTTATTGCTTTGTCAAAATGTAACTATTTGAGCAGAAATTTTGATAGCAACAGAGGGGAGTGTGTCAGGAGCTGGGGTGTGTAGTGGGTATATAGATGCAGGGAGGAGAGGGTCAGAAGCTGTGGTGTGGGGGGGTGGATAGGAACATGTGGAACCGGAGCTGAGAAGATTTGGAGCGGGGGTTAGATAGAAGCAGAGGAGGAGATGAGCAGGAGATGAGGGATTGGGTACCTGGTTGGATAAAAACAGAGGGGGAAGGGGCAGGAATCAATGGGCAGGTGGTTGAATAGAAGGAAAGGGGAACACAGACAGGCTGGCATAGATGGGGCAGAAGATACTATAGCCACTAGAGGACACTCCTTTCCAGAACCTGGAACTGAATTCAGGAGTCCTGAATCTCTACATTCCCCTGCTGTGAAATCTGCCGGCAAAGTGTGTTTCTCAGCCCCCTCTAATGGATGGTCCACATAGAAGATGACAGTCTACCACTGCCACGATTTACTCTATTAGATCAAGTGGTAGAAGTCTGTGCTATGGTTCTAAAAGTCCAGACCCTGCTGATAACCCAATTATGGTTCTGAGTGTTTGAATTTCTGTTTTTGTCTAGTTTTGTTTGTTTTGTTTTACAATTTTAAAAAAAGATACATTAAAAAACTACATTCAGTGAATGTTAGGGCTGCAAAGTCAAACACTGAAAAGTTAGTGAATGCCAGAATTAAGGGTTGCCATGTACAAATTTCAATTGGGTCCTTATATGTATGCATGATACTACAGTCTTCAATTACATGATCACATGCTATTTTTTTCCACAGGATCCCTGCCTCATTCAGAGCACAAGATGGAAAGGCTTTTGGAACGATTCATGGTTGCATACTGAAGGAGACTGTTGTCTGTAGAAACCCTGCCTCATTTATTGCAGAAATTGGAAGGTGTGTAGTGAATGAGGCAGGGGATTTTAGGAGGCGAAAGCATGGTCTTTTAAACTAAAGGCAGTTGAATGTTACTCTGGAGAACTGGATTCTACCCCTGCCTCTGCCACAGAGATGTTATGCAATGCTGGGCAAGTCACCGAAACCAAAATTTTCACATTTGGCCACTAACTGTGTGTTCCTCATTTTCTGGGTGCCCAGTGTGGGGGACAGATGTGCAGAAGTGTTGAGCACTTACAGCTCCAACTGAAGTCAATGGGAGCTGTGGTTTGACATATAAAGTGCTAACTAATGCTAAACACAAAATAATCAGGCCCTCAGTATCTCAAATTGTACATCCAAAATTGGTGAATACTTGACAATTTTGACCTTAATTGCTCTGTGTCTCAGTTCCCCAGGTAATCTCACAGGGGTGTAGTGAAGATGCATTCATTCATTTTTGTGAAGAGCTCAGATAGTATGGTGACAGCACCATAGAAATGCCCCATTAAACAAAAACACTGAATAACTACCATTCACTGAATGAGGAGGGGTCCTGTGGGAAAAAATGACCGTGTAATTCAAGACTATATCATAATACAGACTCCCAAAGGCGAAGGGAGAGGGGGATGCAAATTAAGGTTGTACTGGCAGCCTTAATTCTGGCATTTCCTAACTTTTGAATACTTGACTTTGCAACCTTAATGTTCTTTTTTGGATGTAATGTATAACTAGGCTTAGATGAAAGCTGTTTTTAAAAAAAAAAAAAAAAGTTTAACTATGAGTGAATTGTTCAAAGCTACAGCTGGCTTGGAGCCCATTAAAGAAAAGAGAGTGACAGTTTTTAAAGAGAGCAACTGCAGCCCAGCCTTGCTTTATAGGTCTCTTCCCACATAACCAAACTGTCATAACCAAATTGACCATGGATTATATTCTGTTGAACAGGTCATGAAGGATGACACTGTTTTCCTTGCCTCAGAGAAATATTTTGAGGGCGCTTTGCACACATATGAGGATACTTTGTCATACTTTCTTCCCATACACATCAGTACAAAGAGTTATTAGGGGAGAAATGTAGAATTGAGGTGCTCAGAAAAGAACATGAAGATGTCAGAACTAATATAAACTAAGCCTATTAAAATAGCTTTTCTCATTTCACTATTTTCTTGTGTTTTTTAGCAGTGGATAATGGAGTCATATGTGAAAGAGACATGGCGACAAGTGCATTTTAAAACCTGAAAATAAGGGGTCAATCCTGCAAGCTTTACTCATGTAAATAGAAATTATTCATGCATGCAGCCCCATTAATGCCCAGGGGATTATACACCTGAGAAAAAAGTAAGTTGCATAAGGTTGCACACAAAGTTAATTATGGTTAGCTAAAGATTCTTTTCTGAATCATTCTATCTATCAAATATTATACTTAAAGCAAATGCAGTATATGATGTGTGATTTTTACCACTATGTTTTTATATATACACACACACACAACAAATCTTGTCACTCTCATCTTTATTATGGTTGATTTAGAATATCTAATTTCATATGCCTGTATTATAGAATTATGGTTATGTGATGGAAATGGTTTAACTGGGCCCTAATGTCAGTTGATTACTTCATCATGCCCAGGGTCTGCTACAACCCATTCATTTCAGAATTCTTTTGTAACCATATGCAAAGCACACCATTTTACAATGCCTAGATACTACAGTGATTGGTGTCTTATAAATGCAATAATTTAGTGTCTTATAGGAATTAAATGGTTAATAGATTAACATCCATTGTCCAATATTGCTAGGGAGGTTAATTTATTATATATTTAAATAGCAAATATATTTTATTTGGGCTAGTTCTATTTTTCTTTACATGATCTCATCCCCTAAGTGATCTGGAAATGCCTGTAAAATGCCAACAGGCTTGCAAAACATTAACAATAGAGCCAAAAATGCTCCTGTTTTATCTGTGCTGTGCAAGAACTGAAGTAGATTAAGCATAAGTGGGATCTAAATGAGGCCTGAGATTCCAAAGTAGTATTTGCTGTACAATAGCACAAGAGCCAACTCCAACTGAAACATTTAGCTGTCTAATATGCTTTAAGAAAATGTGTTCCACTGCATTTAGAATAAATCTAAAACATTTTCTATAATCTGTTGAACTACCTGTTCAGTGAATTGACTTGTGTGTGCCTCATTGGTTTTATTGCCATCTAGTGGGTGATTCAAAAGGAAATACAGCTGTAAAAATACAATTAATCAGATCTGTATTGAGATCCTTTTGATCTTTATTGATGCTCCTCACACTTAAATCACTGATTTTACATCAGTGTAAAAGAGCAGTTAATCAACCCCCTAGGTCCTTTCATTAATTCTTTGATACACAGCCTAAACAGTGGTATTTTTAATGTGGGTTATGTAGGGTCAATTTTCATGAGAGTTACACTGTATAATCCTGCAATACAATCTTCTTGCATGTAGTCCAGAAAATCAGTGTTTTGTATTGGGGTGTTTCATTATGCAACTGGATACTCCGAATATGTGAGAAGGGAGTATTTGGGAGGAAAATACATGCTAAATAGCAGGCAAAAAATGGAAATCACCAGCACAAATGAACAAAATAAATTGAGACTATTCAGAAACATGAGGTGCCTCAGTTAGAGTAATTACTGAGTGAAGTTAAAACCAGATTATCGCTCATATATGCCTGGGGCTCCCAGTACAATCAATGGCAGCCTTAGTAATTGGAATTTATATTGAACCGAACTCTTGTAAACAGTGTCTTTACATGAAGAAGGGGATTTATATATTAGAAGGGTTAACTTTATACACTGGCACAGGTCACTTGCTGGAGGATTCTCTGCACCTTGAGGTCCTTAAACCACGATTTGAGGACTTCAGTAACTCAGACATAGGTTAGGGGTTTGTTACAGGAGTGGGTGGGTGAGATTCTGTGGCCTGCGTCGTGCAGGTCAGACTAGATGATCATAATGGTCCCTTCTGACCTTAAAGTCTATGAATCTATGAATCTATTCAACTGTTCTTCAGCAAAGTATTTGCTGTATTAAGCATATATAAGCATTCTTTCAACATTATGGGTAAAATCTTGGCCCCACTTAAATCAATGGCAAAGCTCCCATTGGCATAAGTGAAGCTAGGATTGTACGTATGTTCTGTGTTCCAATTTCTTTTACACTATATTCATTGCATACACACAAGAGAAATATTATTCTCCATTAAGCTCCAGTTCTTTCTGTGAAGTTTAGCCTATAGGATTGTCCTATAAATATATCTTACAACTGTTAGAATCACTGATAAAGGTACCAGCCTTATGCCCCTTCCTTTGGACATGCTGAGTTTTAAGGCCTGAGAATTCATAATATCCTGGAGGAAAAGTGGAAGCAAGATGCTCTTTAACTGAGCCCATTTCTCAGGGAGACTGGAGAAAATCTGTACTAAAATAGTGGCAATGGGAGAAATGCTCACACTTCCAAATTCATGCTCTCAGAAAATGCAGATGGAGGGCTCTGTATGCAACTACAGTATATACAAAAACTGAAGAGGATCCCATGGTAGGAAGGGCAGGTAACACAGATGGGTCTTGTAAGATTACTAATTTGTTACGTTCATATTGGTTTACGAGAGCTTGTAGCTCTTGAGACCACTAGTTCCACTTGCCTAGTGAGCAACAGAGGACTCTCAGCTGAATCAGAGTTGGCTTGCAGCAGAATCACCTGATTGGTCAGACTGCCTGACTGGTAGAGGGGACCTGCTCTTAAGAACAGCAGCAGGGTGCTGGCTGTTTAAAGTTGTTCCCAGCCCTTCCTCACTCTCAGGGAACCAGCTTCTGACCCTCATTCCTGACTTCAGCTCTGGCCTTGGACTTTGGTTCTTATTCTAGGCTCCAATTCCTGATTTCCAGCTCTGGCATCTGACCTTTGGCTCTGACTCTGGGCTCCTTCTTCCGGTTACCAACTCTTGCTCTAAACACTAGGCCTGACTGCCCACATCTCTGTATCTGACAGGTAGCATGTTATCTGCTGTTTGTTGAATTTATACTAAAGTAAACCAAGAATACTCTGTACATTCTGAACCCATCTGATACAGTTTCTTTTTTTTTTCTTTTCTTTTATTTTAAGTTTCACTTCCTTTATGTCTCTTTTTCATTACAGGATTCCCCACCTATATTCTTCCAATCTGATTCTGCTTCTTCAAGGCCCTACTTCAGTACATCAATTGCTTGTGTTAACTGACCATTTGTAACAGGAGTTTCACCTTTTGCACTTCAAATACACAGCATAAACACGAGCAGAAAAAAAATGTAGGCGACAATTTTTAGAACACCCAGGCCATTGGCTGCAGCACACTACATTTAAGCAATTCTCCTAATCTGCGCTATGGAACAAATCCACCTCTGTGCACTGCATGCTGATAAGGGCTGCCTTTTAGATGTTACATGCCATTTAACTGGTTCAAACTGGTTAACTTATTTAAACATATAAATTAAGTAGGAGTATGTCCAGTTTTGGTCCCCCCCACTACAGAAGGGATGTGTACAAATTGGAGAGAGTCCAGTGGAGGGCAACAAAAATGATTAGGGGGCTGGGGCACAGGACTTATGAGGAAAGGCTGAGGGAATGGGTTTATTTAGTTTACAGAAGAGAAGAGTGAGGGGGGATTTGATAGCAGCCTTTAACTACCTGAAGGGGGGTTCCAAAGAGGATGGAGCTAGGCTGTTCTCAGTGGTGGCAGATGACAGAACAAGAAGCAATGGTTTCAAGTTGCAATGCGGGAGGTCTAGGTTGGATATTAGGAAACACTATTTCACCATCCTTAGAGGTTTTTAAGGGCCGGCTTGACAAAGCACTGGCTGGGATGATTTAGTTGGAGTTGCTCTTGCTTTGAGCAGGGGGTTGGACTAGATGACTCCTGAGATCTCTTACAATGCTAATCTTCTATGATTCTATGATTGCAGCTTGGGGGTCAGCTCCAGCAAAATGCAAGTGCCTACAGTGAGGTGCTGTACATCTTCCATTCCCTAAAACCAGTGGGAGCTATGGGAGCTCAACACTTTGTAGCAACAGTCAATTAATCACTATTTTATTGAAGTTTTATTCCTTTCTTGTTTTCAGTAACAGGAATAAGTTTGTAGCTAACCTATGATAAAACACTGGTTTATATAACTGACCTATAATTATAACTAGGAGACTGGGGAAATCCACAGGAGTTAGATGACTAAATATCTTTGAGATCCTTTGGGTCCAGATACTCACTTGCTATAAATTGGAGTAGTACTATTGAAGTCAATGGAGCTTCACCAGTTTTACCTCATCTGAGAATCGAGACGGAGCATTTAGAATTTGAACAGTAAGGGGCTAATGGGTGGGTATTTTTATCACAAACAATCGGCAAGGCCTATTTTCAAGAGGGTCTTTTTTCCATTTTCAAACTATAATGTACTCTGTATTGTTTAGTTTCTATAATGGATTATTTAGTTTATCCTTGGATAAAAAAGAATGATAGCATACAATGTAAAGCCACATGAACTTTTAGCCTCTGAAAAACGTACCAGAAATCTTGAGCATAAATCCTTGTAAAGGCTCAAAGGCCAACATAATTTTCTAACAGAGCTATACCAGCAACTCTCCTTAGCAATCATAGTGACAACAAACGATAAATAATTTATCTTAAAATAACGTATTTTTATAGTACACCAATAAAAAGCCAAGCTATTCTGTACGATAAATATTGGAAAAGGAGACTAGGAAACTCAATATATTTCTTTTTAAAATTATACTACTCTAAGTAATATATTCCAATAACACATTTAAATGTGTCTTGGACCCCCTAAATAACAAAGAATGTTGAGGTATTTATATAGTATACAGCATAGTCAATTAGAGTGAAATGCTTAGAACCTCACACCACCCTCTCCCCCCCCCCCCCCCCTAACAATTGTTTTCTTTATTCGGTTTAAAGAGAACGCAAAAAAGGCAGGTAGAAACATATACTAGTGCAAGATAAATGAAACTTTTAGGGTTAATAGTCCATCAAATTGGGTATTATCTGTGACATATATTCAGGGCATGTTGTTTTCCATAGCTTTTAAGGTCAGACAGGACTATTATGATGATCTAATCTGACCTCCTGCATAACACAGGCCATAGAATTTCACCCAGTACTTTCTGTACCAGCCATAAATTCAGATTGAGCTAGACCTTATTTTTTAGAAAGACATCCACACTTGATTGAAAGATTTCATGTGATGGTGAATCCACCTCTCATCTTGGTAATTTTGTTCCTATGGTTAATTACCCTCTCTGTTAAAAATGTGCACCTTATTGCTAGTTTTCAAGGCCTGTCTTGTGCCAAGCACTGCATCCTTTCAAACTTATGCCTTGGTTTTGATTTAGTCTTCTCACAAAAATAATATGGTTGACAACAAAAATATCTTAAGCCTGACTTGATTCAATTTTGTTGGAATAAAGAGCTAAAACTTAATTTTAACCCTAAATTAGTCTGTACTTTTTAAAACCCCTTAGTTGGTCACAAGATATTTGAAGATATGTTCACCAGAAAAAATGTTACAAGAGAGAAGATTTTCTAGCACTTTTTCTGTGATATAAGATTTTGAAACTTACCGGAACTGAAACTTGAGGATTATTTATAAGTTTTCCCAGCAGAGCAAAGCCATCCACGTTGATTTTGCCCCTGGGCTTTATCTGTAAGGATTCTATCATAATGCAGTCAATAAAAAGAGTGACATTGCTCTTTTCCACGCTGACCATAACCTTGTGCCATTGGGAATCAAACAAAAAAGGCAAATGTGAAAAGGTTGCAGTCTGGAGACTTCCATCCAGCCCTTTATAAGAAAACTCAAGAGCCTTTGTTTGACTATTAAGCTTCACTCCAACTTGTTCTTTTCCTGACGAATCCTGGACCTGCCAAATACTCCAGCTTTTCTGAAGTGTGCTTCCAGTCATCCGAAATGTAGTTAGAAAAGAATATTCATCAGGCAATCCATTGGGATACAAAAACCTGTATAGGATCAAGCACAGTAGATTGGTTTTTGGGGGGGGAGTCCTCTATGACTGTCATCTCTGAGAGAAATAAGAGTCCATCACTCAAAGGAACCATACTACAGCTACTATCCTTCCGCTGAGGAGAACTTGAGGGGAACCCTTTTTGAGACATTCGTGTTGCTCCTCATTTGGCAAAAGGAACTGTGCTTCATCAGTGTGGGCTCTTCCTACATTACATAATGTTCATGCCAAGCTCTCTGCCCATGATGGCTCAAACAATCAGAGGCCGATATTATGAATTAAATCAAGGTCTTCTATAATAGTCCTGTGCACCTATGGCCTATCAAACCAACCAGTCAATCCTGGTTTTTTAAATCTGTTGTGATATTATAATGCTCTTTCTAATCAATGCAGAACTGTTTCATTTCTAAATTTCCATGATTGTTTTTTCAAATACATTTTGTTGATCTATCCAACGATAACCATTTATTATATATTAGCAATTGCTTTAGCAGAAGTAGGTTACTTGTTTGAAAATTATATAAAAGGTAAGAACTCACACTTAAAAATTGATTGTATTCTGTGGTATTCAATTTCAGTGCTACATGCACTAGAAAACAGATTTACTATTATGAAATAGCTAATCCCTCTGCTTTTTATTATTTGCATTATTTTACTATGTACTCTTTAAAATATGCAATTTGGAAACACAGAACAGTCTAATGTTTCTTGCAACATTGCAATCTAAAATACACTGAAGTTTGCTTCTTTCTAGAAAGCTGCGTCAATGCATCTCACCAGATAATTAAAGATTATGCTATTTAAACTTGCTACAGATACTGGTATTATACTCTCATAAACCTTTTGATTAGGTAGTTTTTTTCTTATCTGTCCACATTTAAAATTCTTATAAAAAGAGAAATATGTTTCACTAAGTCTGATTAGGCATGGGGATGTGCCAGGCTACACTATCAGGACAACACATAAAAACAATTTCCAGAGAACAAGTAGGCTACCCAAAGAAGCAATCTGCCTTGGCTTTGTAGGGTTTACTAGCCCTTCACTAATGGCAATTCAGCCACTAGACTGGCCTATGCAGAAAAATGAGAAAATAGTCTTAGAATAAATTATCTCAGAGCACAGTTTAATTAATATAATAAACTAGTCCTTCCAGATTAACAGCTGCACTATAAACAATAGAGCCTTTAAGTGCCTCAGATTGTGTAGTCACATTCCAGTAGGGGGCTCCAAAGCACCAGCAGGAAGGAACGTGACTAGACTGCAGTCACAGAGGAGTGTCCAGGTATAGACTCTACCTAAAATATTAACCTAGTGCTGCCACTGCTTCTCCTCCTTATACTGTGAACCCCACGCCTGCTACTACCTGGGTAGCAGGAAAAGATGGTGTGTTGGGAGATGGAATGCAGGGGGTGAGATTTGCTGTAGCATAACCTTAACTCTTGTACTTCTGATAGGGGTACGAAATCAGTGGTTGTACCTTCACCTATATTACTCCTGGGGGACTCTGTGCCACTGTGCAATGCAGAATTCAGGTTAAGAACATAACGCTCATTCCCGGTTTCTGACAAACAGAGGCTAGGGACAACATCCCTCCCCATCCTGGCTAATAGCTATTGATGGACCTATCCTCCATGAATTTATCTAGTTCTTTTTTGAACCCTGTTATTGTCTTGGCCTTCACAACATCCTCTGGCAAAGAGTTCCACAGGTTGACTGTGCGTTGTGTGAAGAAATACTTCCTTTTGTTTGTTTTAAACTTGCTGCCTATTAATTTCATTTGGTGACCCCTAGTTCTTGTTTATGTGAAGGAGTAAATAACACTTCCTTATTTACTTTCTCCACATCGGTCATGATTTTATAGACCGCTTTCATATCCCCCCTTAGTCATCCCATGTTGACTCTTCCCCAACAAATTATGTTCATCTATGTGTCTGACAATTTTGTTATTTACTATAGTTTCAACCAGTTTGCCTGGTACTGAAGTCAGGCTTACCGGCCTATAATTGCCGGGATCACCTCTTGAGCCCTTTTTAAAAATTGGTGTCACATTAGTTATCCTCCAGTCATTTGGTACAAAAGCTGATTTAAATGTAGGTTACAGACTGCAGTTAGTAGTTCTGCAATGTTCTGCACAGAATTTCCTTAGTCCCTGCAGAAATGGTGCTGCAGAGCTGCTGGCACTGCTGGACCTGACAGTGCCCAGCTCACAAATAGAAGACACTGCTGCGGGGAGGGGGAGCTGGAGGTTTTCCCGGCAGCTGTGATTCCCAGCACATACTGAAGGAAGGAGGCGGCACATAGGAAACTCCATTCAAGCCCGGGACCCAGCATCAGTCTGTTTCTCTGGGCTCTGTGGGGTAGCAGGTGTGACTGTCTGGGCTAGGGGATGCCCCACAGCTAGGCTCTGGGAAGGATGGGGGGTGATTATCTGGGTGGGGGGGGCGCCTTGCAGCTGGGCTCTGCAGGGTGGGGGTGTGATTGTCTGGCTGGGGCGGGGCTGGGCTAGACTCTGGAGGCGGGGGGGGCAGAGAAATAGGAACAGGGTTGTCTAAGGTGGTTTTTTTTTAACTCTCTACTCCTGGGGGAAGTTTTTTGTTGTCTCTTTTTGTTACAGACATAGTCGTGGCAGGTGTTTTGAAATAAATTACCAAAATAATTGAAACTGGTGTGATTATATAGTGTTATTTTGACAAATAAAATATGCAGAATTTTGAAATATTTGTGCACAGAATTTTTAATTTTTTGGAACAGAATTCCCCCAGGAGTACTATATGGTGGATGGTATGTCTGTGCAGACTATGAATTGCCTGTATATACTGAGGAGAATGTACATATGTAACTGGGGATGTACCTATATATGGATAAACCTGTAGAGTGGGATTTGGAACTGATTATGGAGATGTTCATGTGTATGTGTCTTGCAGAATAGGATTTTGCTTAAATCTTATTGTTCGAATCCTTTTGGTTTGGTTTTTATGTTGCCACCGCTAACACAAAATGTCAAAATCTGATTTTTTTCCATCTCTCCTCCTAACCCCTCTCTGTTCCTTCCCTTCCTTACAAGTAGTGACAAATCCACTGTCTTCCCTATCACTTAGCTTCATAGCCTCAGGGTTGTTTTCATACCCTCTTTCCTCCCCTCCTCCCCCACAATGGGACTCCTTCACTGCTTTCAGTGGACTTCTTCCTCTATAATATCTCTTAAATGTATACTTCTCTCTATCCCTACTGCTAAATCCTAAGTTCATCCATAGGCCTTTCTCTCTAACTACTGCAACCGTCATCTCTCTGGACTCCTTGGATCTGACCTATCCTTACCACTTGTCTATCCAAGATGTTGCCACTAAATCATCTTTTTCTCCTGCTGCTGTGATCATATTACCCCTCAATTCAAATCTATCAATTGGCTTCCTCTTTCTCTGCATCAAGTTTAATCACCCCATAAGAACCCATATGCCACTCAGCTACAGCGAATGCTTCCACATCATGGGGTCTCTGAGGAAGGTGGGGGCAGAATCTGGCATCAGGGGAAATAATGAGAGAATCTCAGACAGCCCCTCCTCTGCCTTAAAAAATTAAAATAAAGAAATATTGTAACTTTTGGAAGCCGGATAGAAAGAAGGGAATTGATTGCCTGATCAGATCTACTGTTTCCTTTAAGAGAAAACAAAATGAATAGAAAGATATATGTAACAGTAAAGGAAAAGACAATGACTTTACATAAACATAGCTAAATATTCATATTTAATAACTCAACCCTGCTATCAGAAAACCTATGAACTGCATTCTCACAGAGCAGCTGCTAAACTTGGCAGAACCAAAAACAAGAAATGTTTAGAGAAGGAGATTACCTATTTCTGTGCATGTTTTACATGCATAACTCTACTGAATGGTGAGCAGACAGATTCTCATCTCAGTTATACTGGTATAAATGCAGAGTAATTCCACAGGCTTCGTTGACATCAGTGTAACTGAGTACAGAATTTGGCCCAGACTCTATCATATTGACTAAGGCAAAATTAGAAACTATGGTAAAAATATATTAATATTTTAAACAAAATATTTGCAGATAATTCTTCATCTCCCTTCAAAGTCTGGAGAACCAGGTTCCGTGTTTCCCCTATGACCACTGTCGGTGACACAAGCACTTCAAGTATGAAACTGCACTCCTATACGTGCTTCTGATAGCCCTAACATATGGAGGGGAGAAATCAAGACATTTTGGATTTAGAATTTGGCAGAGGAGTGAAAGAAAAGCTAACTTGCAAATATATATTAAGAGTATAGGCCAATTCTGACCTGACTTACCCCCTCCTCTACTGTGGGGCTGCGAAGGATGTGTATCAGAGCAGAATTTCAACCTTTATGTATTTATAATTCTTAACTCTCTATATAGAGCCTAATCCTGCTTTCCGCATGTACCCAGAAATACCACTAACAGTTATGAGTGTGCAAGGAATGCAGGATCAGGCTGATATTTTGTTACTGATCTGAGTTCATAAACAGTTTTTTAAAGGTGGTTTTCTTTCTGTATACTCTTTTGCAGTTCACCTTTAGCAAACTTTTTTAACATTACCACTTTCTTTTAAAAGAATGTTTCAGTGGGACATGAGAGTTATTAAACCCATAACTCTAGTGCACACCAGAAAGATTCCTTTAATTGTTTAGGACCAGTTTCTACTACCCTTATTCATTTTGAATACCCCTTGACTAGCCCATTAATTTCAGTGGGACTACTTGTGGTGCAAGGCACTAATCACTTTGTGTAAGGGTGGCAGAAACTGAGCATTCAAAAGGTTAACTTATCCTTGTTTTTGATTTGCCGTATAAATCTGTTTCTTTAAGATCTGTTTCCTTAGGTGGGCTCCATTGCCCTTTTAGATAACATATCCTTAGATAAATTAATCCCTTGTTGGTAGGTTACTGCTTTTTATCCCTTCTATTACAGTGTGACATCAACATCAGTGGTATGGTTGCATACAGGTTTGATACTCAAGATAAAAAGAAAAGGCAGTAGAAGACCATTTATGGCCTGGCTCAGAGCAGCAGGACCTTCAAAGGAGCCCTTTTTCACAAACAAATGTTATTCTCAGACAGTCTTTGAAGGGAGTAACAGTGAAAACAGCTTCTGAGAGTCCTCTGCAGGTGATACAAATCTCTATATAGAAATTTACAAAGCTCCTTTTGTTGCCTTACATCTTATTAATGTAATTTAGTTGGCATTTCACCCATTAAAGGGAGCTCACCAGACCCTTGTAAATAAACGTTGTACTATTTGCACTAGAAATTTTTCAAGCACTTTGGATTCTACCCTAGGGAAAATTTAATCTGAGAACCCAGGCGTGCAGTTTGCAGAATTATAGTATTTGGGTACTGGGACACCACTCAATATAATTCCAATCTCCAATATTTGTGGGTGCACTTTGGGGACACTGAATGGTCTAATACAATGTATTAGAATGACCAGACCTCATCCTTGCTTACATGCCATAAATACTTTGCTAGTATGATTTTTTTTCAAAAGCCTGCATGTAAAAAAAGGGGGGTCTCTTATCACTCAATTACAATAGACTCATAGACTCATAGACTTTAAGGTCAGAAGGGACCAATATGGTCATCTAGTCTGACCTCCCGCATGATGCAGGCCACAAAAGCTGACCCCCCCCACTTTCCCTTAACTCTGCTGTTGAAGTCTCCAGATCGTGATCTAAAGACTTCAAGTTGTAGAGAATCCTCCAGCTTGCGACCCCTGCCCTATGCTGCGGAGGAAGGCGAAAAACCTCCAGGGCCACTGCCAATCTACCCTGGAGGAAAATTCCTTCCCGACCCCAAATATGGCAATCAGCAGAACCCCGAGCATATGTAAAGGGATGTTCCTTTTATACTGTAACTTACGAATATTAGGTACTTTTACCAGATACTAGGGGTGAATTGAGAAGTGAAAGATTCACTGTATTGGACTTGAGTCTGGGTTGCATGTGTAAAGTGAGCATCACAACTGCAGTTCCATAGGCAATTCTGGTACTAAGTGACACCACCAATTCTCCAGTAGATTTTACACCAGAAATGAACACGAGTTCGTAGAAACTTATTTGGGTTATGGGGGGAGTTAAAAATCAGACCTTGCAAACAACCACACACATGCACCCTGGTTCATTCTCTTGTCTCTGCAGCATCCCTGAAATATGAAGCTAGAGAACTTAGCAAGTACCATAATGGTAAAAAGGATCTAGGATATAAATTAATTGGTTTTAAAGGATCTCTGTGAAAAAAGGCACAAGCTGTCCCTAAGGCAAATGCTGAATAAATGTGTAGAAGAAAACCCCTCTAATAAAGCCCTCACAGTTAGCCTGCAAAATTACCATTGCTCATTCCTGACAAGCACTGGCTGGCTATTGAGGATCAGACCCTATCCACTGATAATATCCCTCCCCACATCTATGTCCTGCACAGGTCCTCAGAGATTCCCACACCCAGGAAAATGTGTACTGTGACGGTGATCCTCCATATTAAATAAGGCAAATGTTGCAGTTTCCATGGTTGACATGCTAAGGGGCAGCACAGTAATGGCAATACAAAGATGGACATCAGTAGAAGAGCAGATACAGAGCATAGTATTGTAGAGGTGGTAAGGCTGCCTCATGGTTGCTGTGTTTTACTCGAGCCACTTACTCCCAGCTGGAGAACAAGTGCAATGTAAGATTGATCCTAATCACTTCCCTCTTTTGACTTAACTGTGCCCTTTTGGAGTTTGGGCTTTGGCTCACACAGCCAGCAGCATAACTACAATTATGCTTTGCATGGGAGTCAATCACCTCAGAGGTGCTGAGTGCAACTTACACAGCTGCATCTGCCTACGCACAGCACAATATAGTGCAGAAACAAGCCCCCTGAAACCACTAAATTTATGGAGGATGCTTACGGCTCTATACAAAATTCTATTTCAGCATCTAAGCCCTGGTCTACACTGGCGGGGATCGATCTAAGTTACGCAACTTCAGCTAGACTAGACACGATAAATCAATCCCCGCTGGATCAATCGCTGCCCACAGATCTGACAGGCAGTGAAGACATACCCTAAGTGAACAGCCTGGCTGTAACACGTTATAGCCACCAGGTGGCCTGGAGTTCAGTCATCACCTAGCAATGCCACTGCCAGTCCTTCAATGGGACCCAAAAACAGATGGCTTACAGGAAAAGGAGAGTGCAGGAGAACACACACTTCCTGGACCTAAGCTGTAATGGGTTGGCTGCTGTTTCAAAGACTCGTATTAAAATATTACATATGAATAAGTGCTAGTGTGGTGCAGTCTAAAGGTTTATTAGAAGGAATATGGGATGCCTACCTAAGTCATAGTGACAAAGCCCGAGTTATGCAGGTCACATCAAAGAAGTTTCAGGCTCTGTGGGGTGGCATCCATAGCTCTCTCACTACTTTAATGCTCTTGAGTAATTCAGCCAACCAAAACTCATGCCAATAAAACCCATAAACCACACCTAACCACCATGTGTTGTGTATACCACCCATTCACAGAAAATCTATTAGATAAATGTTTTAGAGAGTTTTTAAGAATTTTTACTTGGACTACGTGTTGCCTTAGGGCTTGACTCCACTGCAGTGTTAGCTCGAGTTATCTACACTCAAGTTAAAGTGGCCACACTGCAAAAGTACACTTGCGCCGCACTGAGTGATTGGATTAGCAACATAGAGTAGTTGCATTCCCACTGTGCTCCTAACTCGAGCATCAGCTGCACTCACGCTTCAACCCAAACCCACTGACAGGCCAACTAACTAGAGCTTAAAGCACCACCTAAATCAAGCTAGAGATTTTGGTATGTGGACAGGAGTCAGGTTAGGGACAATACTCAAGTTACAGCATGAGCTAACAGTGCAGTGAAGACAGGTGCTCAGTTACCATATGTTCCAATAAATCACCTCTATGAATGACCTAAAATAGCTTTTTGATCAGACTTCAGAGTTGCGACATTTTAATTTATATCTCAGGCTATTCCAAGTCTAGAAACAAGAACTGGGTATCACATTGAAAAGCTGAGAATCTCCCCCTTTTTAATGGCATTAACTTCCCATTTCTCTTATGGTCATAAGGTATCAGGACCCAGAGTCTCCAGCTGCTTTGTGTTATTGCAGTAATGCAAAGCAACCATAAACCCAGTTTAACCAGTCAGTTATGCTGGAGTCTAACTTTAGCCTACTAATTAAGCACAAAGCAGCCACGATGTACTGGTGGCAGGAAGGGGTGCGAGAGGACCAGCTGAGGCATAGCAGCAGCACTTTGCTTTCCGGTGATCCCCAGCTAAATAATGGTCCATTGAGGGGCATCATCAGCCAGGATAAGTGAAGCTGTTCTAACTTACATCAGGAGCTGAACCAGCCCCCAGTTTCTCCCAAGTTTGGGTAAGGCTTCTTAATCCTGTAACCCCCTCTGGTCCTGCGCTAACCAGAGCTCACCTGGAACCAAGGATCTGGCCCATAGAATGTAAATACGATTAGATTCCAAAATACTGTCTTCTGTAGCAATCTGTGACACGTGGGGGAAAGGTTTTTAACTTTTCTAGGTCATGTGACTGATACTGAACTGGGAGCATGTGTGCACTCTCTTCCCAAAGGACTAAAATAAACCACCATACAATCCATTCTCCTCCTCCTTACCTTTCCCCTGTGACTATCACACTGGCAAAAAGATCCCTTCTCTTCTTCCTCCCTGGCAAAGCCATCTGTGAGGCATCCCCACTGAAAGGATCTTCTCCCTGCCCCTCTGCACCCACCAAGTCCCACCTTCCCATTATGCCTCCCTAGCCTTTCCGCATAGCCCTCTCCAGCTACTGGCATCAGTTCCTGGAGGTTACACCCTTTCTAGCTGGAAAATTCCAGCCCCCGGAGCAGCACTACTGGTAGGGGAAGGAAGTGGGGAGAGCTCCCTCTAGTTATTACTGTCTAGTCAATCTAGTCTAGTGACATCACCCAAAAACAAAAGGGGGGGGGAGGCACTGGATACATTGTATCCATTCCAAGAGCTTTGCCAACCCCAGCTGAAGAACTAGTTATTTAGGGAGGGGGTCAAACTTTCAGGGGGACAATATGCTAAAACAGACTTTTAAAGTAAAACAACTAAATGTGTTACCTGGTTGGGATCCTGAAGTCTACGTTTGTGCCTAATTTATAAGCCACTTGTAAAGCTGTGGAGCCCACCACTCTCTGGATGACTCCTCGGGAGGCAGCTTTATCTAGCTCGAACTGAGAAATCAGGTCGTAACCTACAAGAACAAACATGCACAGCTAGACATTATTTCTTTATTTTTAAGTGAGCATTGAAGAATCACAGAGCTGAACATACCCTGATTGCAATGTCTAAACAGCAGTTTTTTCCTGCAAAGTTTTTACTTACCTGGCAAGTCATCTTCGCCAGTCCTGATTGGTGGGCAGAGGTCAGTCTTTTGGTTAGAGCTGAAGGTGACTGGGAACCCTGCAAAGAAAAGATCCTTCTTCATGACAGGATGGAAATTGCCCAGCTAAGGGAATTAATATGTATTAAATAAAGTAATATGAGAATAATGGCCATATACTGGACCCACTGAAGCAGATGAGCATCTGCTTTTAGAAGTCTCCAAATTTAACAGAATAATTTGATGGCTGATTTATTTGTACATTTTTTGTTTAAGTGTTTAAATTAGAAAAGGGTTGTAATTCTCCCTTCCTCAGCACTGTTTGTGAATTGCAGCTGTCCCATGTATCTTGCACTATATGGAGGGTTAGTCCAGAACCTTTGGTGGTTTAAGCAGTTTTTAAAAATACTAGTTAGCTCAATCTACTGCCTCCCTAACTCAAAGCAATCCTCACACTAGCTGAAGTGGCTGTTGAGAAAGGAAGTTGTTGGCATCCACTCCTTCTTTGATATTCCAGGTGTTCCCACCCACATCCTTGCCATGTTTGATCAAATAACAAGCCTTGGTGAAGCATAAGGTTGGGGCCAAAGAGACTTGCAGGCTCTCTTTATTGACTCTTTATTGACATGAACAAGAGTGTAAAAGAAATTTCCTTGGAAAACCAAATACGTGTCTTGCTTTCTAAATACTGTCTGTTTAAAAGTATTGCTGCGAGCACTGGAAAAAAAAACAGTCCCCCTATCTTAAAGAAGTAAAAAGGCAAAATAAACATTTGCTGGAAAGAGCTCTACCCAAGCCTAACATCTAGTCAAACTGGAAAATGTTACTAAAGTTTGGATGGGGAAGAAAGGTGCATGCAAGTTGGAAGGAGCTACCTTCCCAACCCACAGAGAGCCTCTTGTCTGCTGAAAGGACTCAACCATAAATGTGGGTTTCCTTCTCACAACATAGACGTAAAAAAAAACGTCAGGTTGACATTTTACACCTTAGAAATGGCTTATTTTATGTCATTGAAACAGATATGCGGCTGACATCCAGTCATTTATGCTTGATGGTCCGCTAATATAGTGGATCCAGTTTGTTGCCACATCTACCAGAAAAACCTTTAACTAGAGGGATTTTTTTTTTTATTGCACCCAGTCCTTAGTATCCATTTCCAGATTGTGATCCTCACCTTAGAAATGTATTTACTCTCTGGTCTGTTTAGATGGCAAGAAGATAAACAAGAACAATCAGACAACGACAGGAAGATGGAGAGTGTACCCCAAATGGTAGATTTAAAATACCAGTCTGTGAAAGACATCGCTCTCTCTAAATTCTCCTTCTTGCTTTCACTCTCTCACACACATTTTTAGTTCCATGTCTAAGTGATGTCTAGCTAGTGAGGGGTTTTAGCTGCGACTAAAACTCTTTTGATGATCAAACTCTTTTGAGTAACTCTTTTGATTATCAAAATACCAGTGAAATGAAACACAGATAAAGGATAGACCCTTACTTGTTTGCTGCTGGACGTTGGCTGACACCAGAGCCCACAGAAAACTCCACATGTACAAGAAAACAGGAGCTTGCCTGTGAACAGAAAGAAAACTCAAACATGAATTTACAGCTTCTGATATATCATGTGATCCCGTTTCAGCTCATGGTCAGACATATTAAATAAATACATGAGTTAGGGATTGCTAACACTTGCCAAGCAAACCCTTTTAGAGTTAAGCTTTTTGTCTTTATCAGTGCAACAAAATGTGCCTATGATGTTATCTCAGTTTCCATTTCTTACTTTTAAAACTGTCATAAAAATAAAAAAATAGGGAAGACAGCAGGCAAAGACAGTTTTAAATGCTACCAATTAATCACTTTCTCTGTCATCTATTAATTACTGATTGCTTACAAATGCCACTTGCTCTCTTACCAGTTACTCTTCATTTTCTCTGCTGGTTTTCTTCAGCTCTATCATGTGAGTATTTGGGGTGTATATTTATGTTCTGTGCTCTCCTGTAGTTAATTCCATCAAAGAGTGTATGAATGAGCGCAGATTCAACTCTTTCTGCCCCATACAGGACTTCAGAAGGGAATGAGGCTCCGTCTGCTGGGGCTGCTTTAATCCTGCAGAGGGAAGGAGGTGGGGGCTGGACAGCTTGTGTGTCCTGGTGGGGTCTGAGGACGGCTCTCAGGAACTAGCTGGGATATAAAAAGGCAACGAGAGTGGAGGCAAGTCTGCTATTCATGCCAGCTTCGGAGTGGGGATGTGGCGAGGAAACATAAGTTAGACCATGCCACCCATTGAGTGGCAGGGTCTGCTGGTGAGGGAAGCCAATGAAAGAGAAATGTGTTAAGAAGTCTTGAAGAAACAGATGGTCCTATGATGTGTATATTTTGACAGTTCTGGGAATTAGGATAAGGTTGAACTACGCCTAACCCTGGAAAGAAGAGCCTTTCATTTCTCATTGACTTCCTCACTAGACTGTCCCAACTAGACCCTGGGAGGTGTGGCAAAGGATTCTTCTGAACAGAAGCAATCATTTTTAAGTTGGTTTCATTGCTTTAACTAGAACTTTGCCAAGGTATACACATTACATAGCTAAAGAGACTGCAGTTCCTCAGTCCTAGTTGATAAGCAGTTTTTGCTAGAGGCCATTTATTTTATGTTTTCAGACATATAAACATTGGCTCATATGGCTGCAGAGAGTGAGAGGGACTGAAGCTTATATGCATGGAAAGGCTGAGTCACAGAGCATGAGCAGGTAGGAGACTCTGATATTTACTGCTGCTCAACAGTTAGAATGTGGTATGGAAAAGCAGGGTCAGATTGGGCCAGTGTGTGGCAGTATGGCCTACTAGCATGTCTATCAAAGTTTCTAGTTGTTGTGGTTCCAAACAAAAAAAAGTGAATGGTGTATAACCAATGCAATGAAGTCTGCCGAGGGTCTAAAGCAATAGCTCTGGAAGTTATGAACTGCACCATTCATCTCAATGAGATGCAACTCAATGTCCAGTAATGATCATTTAAATGGTAATGTGAACTATTCCATATCTTGTGTAAGGGAAAGTCACAGATGTACACAATGTACTGTGAGTGATGGCTCATTTTGGTATCCCAAATGGGTGGCCTTTGGAAAGTACCATTGACAGAGTCTGTGAACATATTCAGACCCCAGTGATGGGGAGCCAAGCTCAAGTAGCTCAGAGGAGCTCAGGAAACATATGGTCACATTCTGAACTTCTGTACAATCTACTGTGAATGGTGCTTAATTTTGACAATGGAGTTTATTGTGTGGGTGGAGCTCAGAAGAGAACTGCCACCCTTTCCCTCCCCCAATCCATACTGGGGCATATGCTGAAATCCTGAGGACAAGGGAATTAGAACTCTCCTTTGGGATCAGAGTAGCAGAAGAAACTAAAGCCCAGTTTGGTCTGTTAAAGTGGTGACATTAACAAGTGAGTGGTGGTCACTGGAAGGAGTGGTGGTAGCTGCTTCCTGGCAGTTCCTCCACTCTGTCCCATCTCCATAACTCTGTACTGTTGCGGGGGTGGGCAGTATTCTCCTACTCTACGTGGAATGCTACCTCTGTCCTGATGAGGCACTTCGCTTTTCAATTTTGCCTTCATACTTGCCTTTTAACTTTAGCTTCCAAATGTCAAATGTTCAAAGCTAGGCATGTAAACTGAGGGTGCAAATAAGTAATTGTCACCCAGATAGCTATTTTGCTGTAAATTCATGGTTTATGGATAGCCCTGAATGATATTAACTTTTGCTTATTCCCTCCTGATTGCTGTGACCTTCTATTCTCTACACACTATAACCTAACTAAAAAAAAGCTTGTTACATTTCAGCTTTTTTCTCCTTATTCTACTGCATAGATAATTTTCCTCATCTGCCTTTTGATTTCAATTATAGTATCAGACTCCTAGTGTAAACAGGTGCAACTCCCTTGACTTCAGTGAATTTGTTCCTGCTTATATCATGTTTATATTTGCTCTAAATGTCCTGAAGGCTAAAAAATAACTATGTATGATTTGAGGGATTGCATTTCTGAAAGTTCTACTCATTATTATTTATTCTAAGAATTGTGGTATCTTGGACCTGAGAATGTTCTCACTGAAATCAATGGCAAAACTTGCACTGACATCAAGTGCCTTCTAATTAAAACCCCACAAATAATTAAGCTAACATCTAGAAGTAGGAGCTAATTGAATTGACAGTGAAAGTATAATCGTTGTCAGGCTCCAGCACATCATTGGAGGGTAACAAATAATTTACTATCCAATAAATTCTTACCTTCATTATAAAAATATACTTTTCTGTCCAAAGTTGTATGAAATTTGGCATGGGGGGGGAGGGAAAGCAGCTTTCTCCAAGCTGACAGATTCTAATTTTTGTAAAGATCAAATGGCTTATTTCTAGGATAGGTCAGTGTGGAAAATCTGGAAACATATGAGGCCAGATTTTTATCTCCTTTACACAGAAGCCCCTCTAGAGTAACTTCAGTGAAATGTCACTGAAATCAGTCTGTAAACTCAATTTCCACCACAAAGTCATCTTTAAAAATAAACAAAAAAATCAGTAAAATGTTTAAAGGGCAAAAGTAAAGAAAATACATAAACTGGAGCCAGTTTAACTGTTTCCATGCCTCTCCATACTTCTGATCTTAACAATTCCTTTTTGATGATGGAACCTGCAGTTCCCATGCCTTTGAATGAAAATCCAGATTTTGCTATCTTTTCTAGGTCAGAAGATATGTACTTTGTCTCCAGGGGTGCCAGACTGTCATTATCCTCTGTTACAGTCAGTAATTCCAATTAACTTAAAAACGTCAAAATGTATTTACTAGAGGAATTAAAGAGAAAATTAAAAGAAAATAGATGTTAAGCAGAATCAAACCCATGCTAAGATGACAATAAACACAGCTAGCTGCAGCAGAGGATTGAAGTCTGAGCTCACTTATAATGGTTTGACATCAGTGTAACTACAGTGACTTCAGTGGATTTACTCATTTACACCAATGTCAGAAACAGACTCTGCATGGCTATGTGTTGGTGTATATGAATATGAGCAATTTAAAATGTGCCAAGGAATTATTTAGTAATAATACTAAAAAATTAGTGAGTCAGCTTGCAAATTCCCTCACTAAGCACTGGTTTCTTAAATCACAAGTCAAAGAATAACCTGTGCACATGAATTTTCAAAATATTTCCAAGTATTTTCAGTTACATTTTAACACGTCTTCCTGAATCTTTACCTTATTTGTCTTGCTTCCCCCATTGCCTCCCGTTGTGTGTTGTTTGAGAATTCCACAGACACAGCAAAATATCAGTTCAGAGAAGGTTCTTATAAATCCCAATAGAATGGGGAAATAATAAAATATTAAACTAATAAAATATTTTAAACACCTTTAAATTAATTTTAAGCCAGACTCATGATATATGATCACAAATTATAATGCTTATGAGCAGGGCCCTGTGTACTCTATGGCACAATGGAACTGAATTCCGTGGTAGCAACCCCTAAATGCTGCAGCAACACTAATTTATTTTATCATCATGAGTTACTCTTTGAGTGAAACCCTGGCTTCATTGAAGTCAATGGCAGAACTCCTACTAACTTCTATAGGGTCAGGATTCCACCCACAATTCCTTCCCCCTCGCCCCATTCCACACAAATGTACACACAACTATGGCTCATAGTTGCAAGTACTTAATGAGGTGAAGTTGGTGTATGATTATTTCAGACAGTGATTATTTTTGCAGATGGATTTTCTGTGACACTTTCCAGAAGGCCTTTTTCTGTTCCCTAGGTCTTGCCCACCACATAGTTATCCTGGTGGCTTGGCTCCTTTCCTCACTATTCCCCCTGAGACTCTAGGGAAAAGGGGAGCTTTGTAACCAGCTTCTGTGGCTCATGTGTCAACCTCTCTAGGCATCAGCTCCTGCACTGTTCTCCAGGCAGCTTAGCTGGCTCCCTACACTACCAAGCTGCCAGCTGGCTCTCTGACCCTCTGCAGCCTGGCTCCATGGAACAGAGTAGGAAAGATGCATTTTAGTCCAATTAACTCCCTCTTGTGGGGAAAGCCTGAGAGCAAAATGCAATTGCAGACAAGTCCCAGCAGGGCAGGGAGACCAAAAAAAAAAACATAGAATCATAGAATATTAGGGTTGGAAGAGACCTCAGGAGGTCATCTAGTCCAACCCCCTGCTCAAAGCAGGACCAACACCAACTAAATCATCCCAGCCAGGGCTTTGTCAAGCCTGACCTTAAAAACCTCTAAGGATGGAGATTCCACCACCTCCCTAGGTAACCCATTCCAGTGTTTCACCACCCTCTTAGTGAAATAGTGTTTCCTAATATCCAACCTAGACCTCCCCCACTGCAACTTGAAACCATTGCTTCTTGTTCTGTCATCTGTCACCACTGAAAACAGCCTAGCTCCATCCTCTTTGGAACCCCCCTTCAGGTAGTTAAAGGCTGCTATCAAATCCCCTCCTCACTCTTCTCTTCTGTAAACTAAAAAACCCAGTTCCCTCAGCCTTTCCTCGTAAGTCCTGTGCCCCAGCCCCCTAATCATTTTTGTTGCTCTCCGCTGGACTCTCTCCAATTTGTACATATCCCTTCTGTAGTACATTTGTACATATCCCTTCTGGGACCAAAACTGGATGCAATACTCCAGGTGTGGCCTCACCAGTGCCAAATAGAGCGGAATAATCACTTCCCTCAATCTGCTGGCAATGCTCCTACTAATACAGCCCAATATGCCATTGGCCTTCTTGGCAACAAGGGCACACTGCTGACTCATATCCAGCTTCTCGTCCACTGTAATCCCCAGGTCCTTTTCTGCAGAACTGCTGCTTAGCCAGTCAGTCCCCAGCCTGTAGCAGTGCATGGGATTCTTCCTAAGTGCAGAACTCTGCACTTTGTCCTTGTTGAACCTCCTCAGATTTCTTTTGGTCCAATCCTCCAGATTTCTTTTGGCCCAATCCTCCAATTTCTCTAGGTCACTCTGGACTCTATCCCTACCCTCCATTGTATCTACCTCTCCCCCCATTTTAGTGTCAGCTGTGAACTTGCTGAGGGTGCAGTTAATCCCATCATCCAGATCATTAATAAAGATGTTGAACAAAACCAGCCCCAGGACCGACCCATGAGGCACTCCGCTTGATACCGGC